GATGTAATCTGGATATATGACTGCCAGATCGCCAGGGCCTACACTGAGTGACTCGCAGCTTCGTGGGCCTGCACTGCATCCATGGGAGACTGATGCAACTCTCGATTTTCTGCTCCTGGCTGAGGTCCTTCTGCCCTTCCTCTGGGCTCCCAGGCGGCATTTGCAGGAAGGAGGCCTGCTGTGCCACCTTTCACCACTAAGACAGACTTCTCTAGTTGACCTGTTACCAAAAGATGCCAGCCGCCACTCAAAAGTTTCGGTAGTCCACGCCCGGCACAGAGACATCAGGAGCAGGCAAAGGCGAGCACAGGGGAATATCTGTAGGCAAGCACACCTTACAGTGTGGGGAGGCACCTGCCTCCAAGGCAGTCACACACTTCTCGTCCTGAGGGCCGCGAGAATATCAAAATAAAAAACCTGCCACACTAAACATTAAAAAAAAAAAAAAACAAACTTCACGAGTTCAACAAATAATGTCAATGATCTGTCTTAAAGTCAGATCAACAAAACTAAGTTTAAGCCCAAACAATATCCCTTAGTCTACTTGCTGGGCCGGTGCTGGATATGGTGCTCTGGCAATGTCATGAACTGTACAGATCTAACAACAGCAAAGGCGGCAAAGGCACCAGAAGGACTCAGAACAACAGATTTGTGTGTAGAGTAAGTCAACAGGAGGACCGACATCTCTGTCTACACTGATGACATGATTGTTTCACGTTGCGGTCAAGTGGAAGGTTTTTATTGTAGATGGTGCGGGGTGAGCCACCAGAGGCATCTAGAAGAGTCTGGAGCAGAGAGAGAAAACAGTAGACCAACAATGACCAGTAGCTTAGACCTGGCCATGAGAGGAGCAGAAGCAGAGCAAGGTGGGGGTGGGAAGACATATAGAGAGGAAGAGCAGACTGGAGGAGGGAGAAGAGGAGGGGCAAAGATTGTGTGGGCAGAGGAGAGAGCGTAGCTGAAATAGCCGGGCTATCAGGAGAATGAGTAGCTGGGGGAGAGAGTCTCAAGAGCTGGAGAAATAGAGGGTAGGGATGGAGGGAAGAAGAGCTGAGATGCTAGCTGGACTCTGTACTTGTGATACTGAGGGAGTCTAGGAGCCAGAATGTGCTTAAGGATGCTAATAGGTCCCCTCAGCCAGTGGTAAGGAAAAGGGCTCCTTTGGGTAAAGGGAACAGGCTTCACAAGTTCCTAAGCTGTGACTGCTGGCTTTTGTCTAATCTCCAGAACGTGGGGAAGTGCAGTTTCCTTTGGCCCTGACTACTCGGAAGTCTGCCCTATCATCCTGAGTTATCAAACAGTAGTCCGATGAAGACAAGGGTGAGTGAGACACTTGTCTACTCGTGCGTGCGCATGAGTGTGTGTGTGTGTACGTACATGATGTGTGGGCAGGGTAGGGGATACATGTGTGTCACTAAATGATGTGAATGTCACAGAACAACTCTCTCCTATTTTTTATGTGGATTCATCATGGAACTCGGGTCATCAAACTTGCAAAGACCTTTACCCACGAAGCCACATACATCACCAGCTTAAGACCTCTCTATATTTTACACAAATAAAAATACTCGAACTTACTATGTGTTTAAAGGAAGAATTTCTGTTGTTTTAAATTATGTGCAAAGGTGTGTTTGTGTGTATGGACACCTGAGTTGAGTGCCCTGTAGAGGCCAGAAGGAGCTATCGGATCCCCTGGAGCTGGAGTTACAGGCAGTGGTAAGTCACCTGCCATGAGAACTGAACTGAACTCAGGCCCTGAGCAAGAGTAGTCGGTACCCGCTCTCAGCCACTGTGCCTTCTCTCCAGCCCACACAATCATTCTTAAAAGGAGATTCGAAGAAGGAAATCAAGCCAGACTGAAAGATAACAATACTACCTTCTCCTTCTAGCGCACGGCGAAGCGAAGCTCCAACGTCTCAGCACACAGGAGGCCTGACGCAGAGGGGAGCCAAGGCCACTCAGCACAGCTGTGTCCAACACAGTGTGGTTCCTTTTATTATCTGCCCTATATTTCTTGTCTCTACGACAGCAGGCCAAAACTTGGAAAAGTCCCAACTAACGAAATATACGTTCAACTTTTTCATACATGAAACAGGAGCTGTGTCCTAGAAACACTTCAAAAACTCAAAGCCTAGATTTCACAGTCAAGTATTTTGGTGCTTTGTCTGCCCAAGCCTCTAATTGGTCCTATATTTAACAAGTGTTTGTGGAGGAATCAAAAAAGAAAAGGAATTCAAACGTTTTGGAGAAGCATGCATCTTTCCAATACTTAAAAAACATCTTTCCAAACATGCCTTCCCACACAAACAGCACCCCACAAAGTAGGGCCTGGTGACTCACAGTGGCTATGAAGGAAGGTGGGACATTTACAGCCAGCTATACAAAAATCAGCAGGCAAAGAAGGTCAGAACACAATGGGTTAACAGCTGGGTGGCAACTGCCTCAGAAGGAGAGGTCAGAGTTGTCAACTGTAGTCTGGTCACGTCAGGAGCTACAAGGGGTCCAGACAGAACCCAGTGACCCTTCTATCAGAGCCGAACCTGAGATCCCTCGCCTCACGAAGACTCATGATATCACAAGGGTCTCCGGTCCACGAAGCCCCCCAGGGATAGATACAGAGTGTTTGGCTTGCGATGTGCTGTCCTCACTTCACAGACAAGAGTGTTGTGCTCCGGAAGGCTAACTGCATCACTGACAGGCAGGGGAGGGGCTCAAAAACAAGGGATTCTATTCCAGTAAAAAAAAATCTGTGAAAAGACTGTGCTCTGCTTTGATGAATGAATATAATCAAGGAAAAGAGAGGTACTGAGGACAAACAGAAGACAGCAGTATGCAGCACAAACACAGATCTTCAAAGTGCGTGGCCACGGATGATGATAAATAACATTCTTCATGGCTTAACGTGGCATGTCTAGATTATATTTCTATGTATAAAGAACTAAGGACATTCGAAGAAAAAGTCACTGTGAATGAAACATTCAAATTTTTCGGGCTGTTTTCCTATTTTAGCTTATTCTGTTTCATTATATTTAAAATGCTGACAGAAATCCCTAACTAGTCTCATGGTCCAGTGGAATAGTAGCCTGTATTTGAAAACTGGTGCCAGGGACTAGAGAAGGGGTCACTGATTAAAATTGGTTTCTGTTCCTTGCAGAAGACATGGATTCAGTTCCCAGTACCTATATCAGGCAGATGACAACTGTAATTCAAGCCCCAGAAGACCCTTACACTTTCTTCTGATTCCACAGGTACCCCACCCCACATACATCTGCTCTTACACATGTATATACTTAAAAACAAAATAATGTCTTAAAAGAAAACTGGTCCAGAGCCAATGGTTTTTAATATCAGGAGGAATATTAGCATCTAAGATTTTTACACATCTCCTACTGAAGTGTTTGTTCAGGAAAAGGGAGAGAGGGGGAAAAAATGGAGAAACTTGCCAATACATGTTCCCCACCAGAAGGAACAGTGGAACGACCTTATCTTAAATAAGAATGTTCCTTCTCCATGGCAAAGCAGCCTGCTCAGAGAGACAGGTGTGGTAGACCCAGGCTGGAGAGGGCTATCAGTCCCTCTGAGTGGTTGAGAAAGCACCAACTACCAAGACTGACCCCTGAGGAAAAGAAACTCTTGTATGTGAAGGCTCCAGACAATTCTGAAGACAAAAAGGCAAACCACATATGTACTGTCCCAGTAACATTCCACACTAGACAAGAACCATGTCTCTAGAGAAATTTTACTTTAGTATGAATGGACTTCTTCAAAAGCCCGAGCACAGTCTAGGGAGATGACCCAGTTCTTAAGGTTGGCCTCATAAGCAAGAGGAACTGGGTTTGATCCCCACATAAAAATCTGGGCATGAGCGCGGTGGTGGCGCACGCCTTTAATCCCAGCACTCGGGAGGCAGAGGCAGGCGGATCTCTGTGAGTTCGAGACCAGCCTGGTCTACCGAGAGCTAGTTCCAGGACAGGCACCAAAGCCACAGAGAAACCCTGTCTTTAAAAAAAAAAATCTGGGCATGAGATGAGCGACAGAAACAGGGGAACCCTGGGAACCCTGAAACGTGCTGTCCAGATAGCCTAGCCATTTGACAAAGGCCCAGGCCAATCAGAGACCCCGTCTCAAGCAAACAGTGGAAGACGTCTAAAGAATGACACCTGAAGTTGCCTGCTGGCCACCAACACATGCAACATGAGCACATACACAAATATGTGTGTGCACTCTTGTGAGTGTGTGCATGCACACACACACAGCAAATATCTGAGAAGCATTATCTGTAGGATGAAGGGTTTCCACTTTACTTTAAACCCTGATACTGGGGATATGAGCAGTAATCAATATAAACATATAAAGGATAAGAGAAAGAATAGACGGTAGTGGGTCACATCTGCACTCCTGGCACAGGGAAGCTACGGCAGGGGGATTCCTGTGACTTCCAGGCTAGTATGGGTTATAATCTGAGACTCTATCTCAAACAAACAAAAGGAAGAGATGGAGAGTGGTGATTCCTAAGTGAGCCAACTTGGAAAGAGTATCAACAAAGATGAGTTGTCATAGCGACCTGGAGATGGAAGGAAGAGGGGCTTTTCCAGCAAGTGGCTGCTGCTACTTATTACGGCTTCTTCAGGTAATGTCAAATTTCAAAGTTGCTTAAAAGAAAACCACCTCTTTTTCATCTGCCTCTTAATATGCTGAAGGAACCTGTTCAAGACAGGGCTGCCACAAAGTAAGTTAGATGATAAATGTGTTCTTCAATCTGCACACCAGTCAAGTAGCAATAAAATCAGAATAATTCATGCAAAAATTTTCATTATGTTTCTAAACATACTTATTTACATTTTAAAGCACACATTAGACAATATGAAATATTTTTCATTTAGACAGGTGTGAACTAGAAAACAGATGCATTCATTAAACATGGAACAATTCGGCAAATTAAAGGAAAAAAAAACCCAAAGAACTCTCTGGTTGAAGTATTTCAGCCGCTGTTAACCTACTTGAAAAAATATGGCCATGGCTCCAATTATTCTGTTTTCAGAGATTGCCGTCTGGAAGCTGTCAAAGTCATCTGGATTGTAGAAGAAAATCTGCATCTGCAAAATAGTTAAAAATTGTATTAGAAAAAAAAAAGTCACACCTATGGTTAAGTAGAGAATAGTCCAGAGAGCACATTCACTTCCCACAGACTAAGACCATAGCCCATTTATTCTTTTATCCATAGTTTTCCTTTGCTAAAACCTGTGCGAGCACATCCAAACAACATGCCACTTCCTACACACTTCAGCTTCCCACACGACTGCATCCACGCAGCCGAGAGGACACACTACTCCGGAGGTGTTCTTACTGCGGTACCCGGCGCATGATGGAACCTTCCCAAGAGGAGAAGCTTGAACACGACTTAGCACATGTGAGTAGGAAACAGAGCCTGCGAGAGGTAGCCAGTGTGTGAAACTATCAACACACTAGAAATGACGTGGGCATAACTACCGAGACTCGCAAGCTAGATCTCAGGAGATTGTGGGACCACAATAAAAGAAATTTCACAAAGATAAAAAAAATTAATGGTAGAAACTATGAAATCGTGTCTTATAGAGTTTACCGTGTACATAAAAGCTATTCTACACATGAGATCACTGAATGTACTTCACAAGCTCTATGAAGACAGAAGCTAAAGGAAAGGAAATACTGATTCAGTAAATGCCCATCAAGTTGCTTTAGGCTCAACGCCACAGGGAGAACGTACTCTGGGCGCCCCACACCAATGGTAAGGACCTTCTCTTGTATTCGCTAGAGCGTCTTATTTAAAACACAAAATCCCGATGCATCAATTTAAGATCATTTAAAAGACTGAGCATACATGCGGACGACACAAGCGACTGCTTTCTGTTGTTTGTTTTTGATTTTTGTTTTTGTTTATCAAGACAGGGTTTCTCTGTGTAGCCCAGGTTGTCTTGGAACTTGCTTTGTAGACCAGGCTGGCCTGGAACTCACAAAGATCCGAGTGCTGGGATGAAAGGCGTGAACCACCAGCACGCAGCTAACTACATCCATTCTCATTCCAATATGGCTGGCTCCTAGCCTAGGAGACCCTCAGGAAGGCGGTGTTCCTGACATAGAAGGTCAAGCCTTTCTTCATGGCAGAGGGGTTGTGAAGGTGAAGGCACACGAGCAGCGTTACTGCACCATGCTCAGATCCCAGCACTCCACCCACCACCAACACAGGCTGACACCAGCAGACTTCTTAAACATCCTAGGGAGAGGGCTGGAGAGACAGCTCAGCGGTTGCTCTTCTAGAGGAAACAGGTATTATTTCCAGGATCCGCATGTTGGATCACAACCACCTGTAACTCCATAGCTCTCCATCGGACACCTTCTTCTGACCTCCTGGGGCACCAGCTATACATAGATATACATGCAGGCAAAACACTCATACACATATAACAAGAAATGAACAAAAAGTACAATCATGAATGGATTGGACTCAATCTCCCAGGAAATCCTGCTTTTTCAAAACAAAACAAAAAACAACTCAAAAAATCTCCTAGGTAGATGTCATCTTTCTCTGCCTCCACTCACCCAGTTTCTAAATGGCATGCAATGGAAATGACGATCATATCCAAGCAGGGAACTTGGAGATTTGATACCAAACAATTAATTCCCAGAAGATACTGTGAACTCAAGGTGACTCCATATAGGCCAAAGGTGAACGGAGTCTGCATGACAGAATGAACCGAAATGCTGTGACAAGTTCGTTCTGAGGGGAAGATGAAGCCCACCGTGTCAGATCACGTTCTAGAGACATTCAGGGTCTATGTAGAGCGGGGAAAGAAGTAGATTCTTTTGTAACATTATTCTTTTAAAGCAAATTCATTTTCTTAAGACCTTGAGTTCTTACTAATGCTGGCGGTTTGGACAGCTTTAGACATCATGAATTTACACAGAAAAATCCACTATGCGAGGTGCCGATTAAAACCACTGAGTACTGGGTCAGGTGCTTCATGTTCAATGCCACTGAACCAAGGAGGAAAAAACCTCCACACAAGTATATTCATGAAATCACACTCCACTTTCCTTTGAGAACTTAGACTCTCACAGTAAGTAGGTTCCAGAAAGCTTATCCTCTGGCTCCTGAACGGGGCACTATTGTTCAGTGCACCACCTGAATAGCAGGGGACACAAAACGCATTAAGACTTCTTCAAGGGCACTCTGATATATAGCCCGGGACGGAAATGCATATTTGGAAAACATGTTCAAGTCGAGGCTCCACCCACCTGGATAATAAAATGTCTCAGAAGGACACCACTTATACGAGTTGAAAATATCAATTTTCCTTGCTAGTGCTTTCAAACTGCAGCCTACTGAATTATGCTAACATGCGAAGCTGTCGAAAGATAAGAAAGCAAAGAAACAGATAAAGTTGTACTGGGGGAAACTGGACTCTAGCAATTGCTGGTCGATGAGAAATTTTGCAAAGACAACGCTGTCGAACGTTTCTGGCTAATTCAGTTCACTGTGACCCTGGTTTTGACCTATACCGAGTCCTTCTGACTTGAATCTCCAATTTCTGCATTTATTTTCAAAAGCCACACCCAAACCATGGGGGGAGTGATGCGTGCCTATAATCCTAGTATTGGGGTGGTTAAGGCAGGAGGCTGTGTAGAAAAATCTTGACTGAAACAAACAAAACAAAATACAGAACAACAAAAAAAAGTAACACCCACCACAGACTGCATAAATCTGGGGCATATTTGCTATATAGTAATTCCTGCCAAACACACACCTGATGTGAGGGAAAGATCCGGAATACCCAGTGACAGAGATGTCTAATTGTGTCATATCCACTACCCAGTTCCACCAATAATTTACATTTTGTCCCACAGGCCCCATACTGTCTCTGTAGATGACCTACAGCCATCACATCCTTACTTTCACTGGGAGTAAGAGGGAGATAATGTGTCCCATGAACTGAATATGTAAGCATGTAATTTCTAAGAATAAGGCTATCCTCTTACATGATCGAGGTGTAATTGTTACAATAAGAAAATTTCACATGGATGAGATCTGATTACCCACTTCTCAGTTCACTTTCAAATTTAGTAAAAGTGCCCAGTAAAAGCCCATTACAGATCATCTTACAGTTCTGGGTGCAGGATGTAATCTGGGATTAAACTCTCCACTCAGTGACCATATCCGCGCTGTCTGTTCCCACTGCCATCTGGAACAACTCCTTGACACTCCTGACTCTAAGAGTGAGATGCTTCCAGGACAGTCTACATGACACTGTGGTCCATCTCATCACAGTTTCTCAAGGGTGCATTCAGGTGGTATATTCTCTGCAAACTGCCACACGGCGCTACCATCTTCATTCAAGGTACCAATCCTAATACAAGGACTGTTTATCCCAATTATTTCAAGGGTGACATGGGACCATCTTCTCCACTGAATGATGGAGGAAGGTCATTGAGCAATAAAGAAACTGCTTGGCTGGCCTCATAGGTTAAAGCATTGGTGGGAGGAGTAAACAGAATAGAATTCTGGGTGGAAGAGGAAGTGAGGTCAGACTCTGCTCTGCTTCCAGGGAGACTCGACAGCTCTGCTCTCTGGAGCAGAGACACCAGGCTCCGCTCTCCCAGGCAACTCCAACCCAGGATGGACATAGGCTAGAATCTTCCTGGTAAGCGCAACTTGGGGTGCTTACACAGATGATTAGAAATGGGCTAGTCCAGGTGTGAGAATTAGCCTGTAAGGGCTAGAGTTCATGGGCCAAGCAGTTCTTAAATGAATACAGTTTGTGTGTTGTTATTTCGGGCATGAGCTAGCCAAGCGGCCGGGGTTTTGGGGATGCAGCCCCGCCACTCTTATTTCAACAACTGAGGTTTTTTATTCCGTTGGAAATGCAAAGATCTTTGTGGGGAGAAAGGGTAAAACAATATTCCTACCCTGGTTTCTTAGTTTCACCCACTAGTTTTGGCATTCGTTAATGATTTTCTAACTCTGTTCTTTTTTCTGTATTCATGAATAAGATCTTTATGCAAGGAGTATCTTTCTCTTCTCTAGGTTTACACATGCATGTATTTGTGCACACAGACTTGCTGTGGCTTTTACTTTGTTCAATCCGCGGTAACACTTATTCGAAACTGTATTATCTTGATGTGCAAACTGCCCCAGCTTCGCCCAGCAGGAAACCCTTCCAAAGGACTCCCTGCCATGCAACTATGCTCCTATCATTCTCTTTGCTTATTGTTGACTCCCTCCTTCTTATCAGGCACACTGGTTTAGACCTAACTTAAACTTTATCAATCCCAGCCACAATAAAAGGCCATTTTATTCTAGTACATACAGGATTCTTTTGGTGGGAAGAGTGGTTTAAAGACACGGGAACTCAGTATTTTCCAAATGTGCTGAAAATAGAAAATATCATACCACGCAGTGGTGGCGCACGCCCTTAATCCCAGTCCTCGGGAGGCAGAGGCAGGTGGATCTCTGAGGGTTTGAGGCCAGTCTGGTCTACAGAGTGAGTTCCAGGATAGTTGGAGAAGGTCCACAGAGAAATTCTGTCTTGAAAACCACCCCCCCCAAAAAAAAATTGGTACTTCAAGAACACATTATAGCTGAAGACCAAGGTATCCATTCTGAAAAGGAAAGGAAGCTGAACCAACACTGTGAATGGATGTCATGTGACCTTTCTTTCTTACGGAGAGAGGCTGAAGGAAACTAAAGGAGAAAGCCACTGAGAAGGAGTGCATTGTGGGACAGTCATGAGACCTCTTGTCAACACTTCAAAGCCAGGAGTGATTAGGGTGGGCCAGATCGTGTCTACCAAGGAGACTGAAAGAACTGGACCATCCTGCAGGTGTTCCTGTAGCCAGGTCAGGCGTGTCTTACCAAGAGCATGAAATGACATCATACAACATTTAGAAAGCAATAATTTACAGGGCAAGCAAACCACAAGGAAGCCTCATCCCGGGCCAGGACACATGGGGTAATAAAGGGGGATGCCAGCACAAGCTCTGCCATGTGGGATGGACGCAGTGACGGATGACATCCTGCATGGCCTTGGGTGCTAAAAAATATACACAGAGTCTAAGATAC